TTGCCCTGTCAAAGGGATGGTTTGCAGCTGTAGGCGCGTCCAGAGACGCGCCGATTGCTGTTTAATTTTTTGTGAATATTGTGCTTGTTTTAGGTGTTCCAGCTTTCAAAAGAAAAATTCCGCACAATTGTTTTTGAGCTCAAGGGAATTCCTACAGCAGAAATACAAGGATAATTTTATTCAACTTTAATAATTATCAAAGAAGGGATCACGTTCTTCTGCTTTTTACTGAAGAAAACGAAATAAAAGGCATCGGAAAGCTTTTTAGAAATTCGTTTGTGTAACTTCGCAATACCTGATCATTTTCTCAATTTTTTCGTTATTTGCGCTTTTCGTTATTTGTTTGGAGAATTTTCCAAAATTTTACTTTATTCAATTTGCAGGACTTTGCTGGGAACCAATCCCGTACTTCCTTAGCAAAGTTCAAGATTACCTCAAGGACCCCGGGACTTTCGGCAATTCATTTTTGCATTACTTGTGTCTCAGTGCAATTTGCTTGTGGCACAAGCGAAACAAGAAACATCGACTTGCCAGCTTGTATTATAAAGTGAGTAGCCAATACACAGCAATGCTGGTTCCTTTTCAGTCCGATCCATTACGTCTTCAATTTTTTCGTAAAATTTACCACAGCGGTCAATAAAGTACATTTAGTCCGTTTATGCCTTAAATTTTTCAAAATAAATACCAAATCGTAAATTGAATAAGCCAGTGTTGAAAAGCCATGTGAAATGAAAGATGACATCAAATATTTGGTTTACGAAGAGCTGAAATCTTTGAAACGCCGATTTCGGATGGCATCACGGTTATTATTCCCTTTTTTGTCACTTCGACCAGTGACAGACAGAAATGATAAAATAATCAAGAATTAAAATGAATCCAAATCAAAGTTCAACAAATCCACCGGGGACCAGAAATAAGGTAAAATAAACATTCCTTATTCTGCAGTATTGAGGCATACAATAGGCCTTGATGAAGACACAGATACACACAAGAATTCAAGTAATTTCAAAAAGATTCTATCTATGAGTAACAGGTCGATCTTATTATAGCTTCATGATGATTTATTAGATAACACTCATCTCTAAGCTAGGCACTATGCTTACCAGCATAACCTAACTTATTCATGTTCCACAACTTAAAACAACAACAAAAAACACATACGAAATTGGAAACAACATTATGCAGTTGGGGTCGTCAATAACGCAGCATAAAAAAAAACAATTTGGATGCATGAAATTTGTATTCAGGCTGCGAAGCGTCGTTTGAGACTGGCAAGACTCATCTTCACTCACACAATCTCCGACTATTACACCTTCCTCATAGAGGTGGATCTCATAACGTTGAGTGAACATTTGGAAAATCGCGACTGGCATAACTACGAAATTTGCCGAGGACGGGTTGAAGATGGTATGCAAAAACTGGGCTTATTTTGGAGTACAATGCCGACAACAAATTGCAAGTGAGTCTTATGCCAGAAAAAAATACCGCATTGAATATAACGGTGGACAATTTATAATACAATGCAGTCAAACCTCTTCCAATCGAACTTTAATTGGGGTCCAGCAAAAAATTCGAGTCATTAGGAAAACATATGTATTTTGCTGAACGTAAGCATAAAAAATTACAGGATAAATTATACACACCAAAAAAATTGGAAGTTGACGTCTTATTTACTCAACTGTGTTACGACTTGAACCTCCGTTCCCAAGGAACGACGTATAAGAGGACGAAGGAAAGTTTTGTGTAGTTAATGTACACATTTCTCTTTCTTTTGTGAATAAAATATTAGTCAAAAGACCACCAGAAAATTCCAAGTGTGGAGATTTAAGGGGGAGGTTTTGGTTATGGGACAAGTTGCACAGCAACAAACTGGCTCAGTGGGATAACTTGAACAGAGCAAACACTTGCACATTTCTTTTTTTCCTATTAAGCTTTTATTGTTTTGAATATAGGCTCAGGCAAATATGCATACTTTTTGCATCTAGATTTTCTTAAATTAAAAAATGGGGCATGAGAACATAAGAATTCCAAGATAACTTTGTTCATGAAAATTTCTCTGGTTTTCTTGGAATGGAGGAACAGGATTCTGTTCATGGGTTAAAAAAGAAGTTATTAACACAAAAGTAAGATCAGTTCCTATTAAAACTACGTACCTCTTTAGTAAGAGTACTTCAATCAGTTTACTACTTATAGGGACTCATATATTGACTACTCTACTACATTGTAAGTGTTGAGATGGTCTTTTAAATCAGTGGAATGGCATTATCTCTTCCACCTCAGGAGCCTAAAACTTCTAATCTACTTAACTTTTCACTTTTGTAACCCATGAACGAAGGTAGACTATTTTACCCTTACGAGGACTGACGGGACGATTCCCTAATCGAATGGGTATCAAACAACCTCCAAGCAAAACAGAAATAAATTACTCAGTATAGCATTGCAGGATGTTGAAATAAAATCTGTGGGATTTTGTGTCCCTATTCTGAACATCACACAAACATTCTTTAAAAAAATTGAGGATGAACAGAATCCTGTTTCTCCATGCCAAAAAAACCAGAAAGATTTTCATGGACAAATTTATCTTGACATTCTTTATGTTCTCAAGCCTCATTTTGTTAATTTAAAAAAATGAAAAATGCATACAATAGATGAATAAATGACAAAAGATAATCTAAATGCAAAAAATACATATTTACCTGAACCTATAAATAAAACAGCACAAGTTTATGAAGAAAACAAACTATGCGAGTTGTCAGACTGTGCAAGTTGTCACTGTGCCAATTGTTGAGGAATCGGAGGTTTTTAATGCATTTTTTCTACCGGAAGTCTGACCGGAACTTGGAAATAATTCAAGATACAGAGAGTTTCACCGAGGCTCGACACTTGGGGTGGTACACCGAGGCTCGACACTTGGGGTGGTACACCGAGGTTTATTAACCTTACAATTATAAGGTCATTCGTAAATTTTTTAGAAAGCAGCAAAAAGTCTGACGAAAACGACTTTCGAATAAACAGGGTCTAGTGTCTGTTGTTCTCACTCAGCCGGTGTAAAAACTTTCTCCGGTTTCTTCAACGCAACTTCGAGCCAGTTGCTGAATCCTTTCTGCAAGCCGAATACTACGAAAATGTACGTAAAATCACACTCATGAATCGTGTTCTTATGGTCCAATCGGACTATTCTTTCGTTGAAGATATGGCAAGGAAGAAAAGGGGATTACCAGGAACTGCTTGACATTTGGGAGCATAACACGATGTAGCAGGCGCCCTTTCTAAAGCGTAACTAGGGCTACTTAAAGATAGGAGACAGTCACGGTTTCGGACAAAGTACTCGCTTTATATGAGGTACTAACTAAGAAAGCTCGTCTTTTAGATAAAGTTTCCCTGGTTTGGGATAGACATCAGCCGTGGGCTCCGCCGGATAATTTTATTTCAACATCAGGGTCTATAGAAATGAATCTGTGAAAGAGGCTCCTCTGACGGATCTTATTCAGACCCGAATAATTCAGAATTTTCATACGCTTGCGGAAGTTTGAAAGCGTTTCAATTACATTTTTTCAATTGAGAAAAATCTGAAACAACCGAAAAATTAAATATTTTGTTAATGAGAAGACTTCAACCCTCCCGGCAATGTTAATCAAACTAAGAAGCATCATCTGGAAAATACTAAACGTCGTTGGAGTTCCAAGGATATTCACCTAATCAGATATACCCCATATAAACGCGTCCATTATAATATTCGCTGAATGTGATTTTTCTTTGTTGAAACGATTGAAATATTTCGCTATGAAGCCTTCATTCCTCTCATACTATTGGTCAAAAGAACTGGAAAATTCTTCGATTACGACCTTTATTTATAGTCATCTCAGTATGATTTTCTGCTTCGCTCTGGAATCAAAGGAAGTTAGCGACGTTACCCGGCCGATTCTTCAATGATCGAATACTCTTTTTCAATTCAGCGAGAAGAAATGGCTCAAAAGCTACGACACAATACACTAAGGGCTTGGTCGTCTTTCGCGCTCCAACATGGAACGTACGTATTTTGTTGCGTACACAAGTTTCCTGCCTCTGGGCTGCTGAGTGCCTTAAGACAGTATACGTACGTTTGCGCGAAGCATAAGTTGAGTGAGACGGCAACCAACCATTTCATATGAAGTTAGGGACCGTTGAAATTCTGATCGCAATAACATCCCGACGTGGGGATCGTATCCATAATTTTCAAGAGAGCTGCAATATAGAGCCAGCTTCTGAAGCTGTGATTTGCTACGGGGTAAACTATGTAAGCGCATTATTCTAGCCAGTATCGGTCCCGCCATTGGAATTTGGAAGAGACCCAGGTGGGGATAGAAAGCTGAATACAATGTATGCAGATTATCCCTGTGTAATCGTGCCCGAGGCATCCTCCATGGCTGCAGAGCCTGTATCCTATCGTCAACGACGTCACAGCTAGGATTGCGTACAGTATACTGTATAACCAAGCAGGGATAATATTCGAATGAGTGAAACTTGTGTTTGATCAACGCCACGGCTCTCGACAGAAAATACACAATTCTATAACCAAAATCAGCCACCGTTAGATTGAGAACACGCCGACCGAGCGGCCCGATCTGCCGCATAAATTCATTCATGCATGGTACCTCGAAAGGTAAAGTTGGTTCGCGCATAAGAAATAGCCGTGCTTTTGCTCGTCTTCAATGTCCTACTATTGTTCTATTTCAATTTACGACATCCTTTTAACAAGCTATCTTCGTGGTACTTATAATATTGACGAGACAAACAAATTTTCACTAACCTTTTACAGCTGGTGTGCCGATCATTTCAACGGCACAGCTTTCACATTCGTTAAACACGCACGCTTCATATAACGAAGCGGAAGAATCCTCTTTAGTGCACCACGAACGAAGGTTTCAAGTTTTCAACGATATCTCCCGTCTTTATAAGCGCTTTGATGAAGCGACTGCGCGAAACATCGGATTGAAATCTCTACACCTCCCGGATACACAGGCAGGTTCTCGCGAAAAAAAAACACAATGAAAACAAATGAACGGTGACAATAAACGGAATCGTTCGTTCGGGTAGAATCGCGAAGCGCATTACGAAATCGCGGCACAGCCTTCCAATAATAGATAGATAGATAGATAGATGGACAGGGGGCGCATCCATGATGTAACGACTTGCGGTTGCCACCTATCATGTTTCGTCTGAGTCACCATCATATCATTGGCTTTATTATTCAAAATCGGAAGATTTTTCTAGACATGATGAAACGTTTTTTGAAGCGAAGGATTCAAAGTCACTTTCACTCTACCACCAAGTAGCTAGATTTAATCAGCCAGAAATTTTCATATCTTGTTTGTAGGAATGAAATGTACTGTAGTATCCCATATTTCAGTGTCATACTGTATAGTGCTGAAACCAAATTAAAATATTGTAATACTGGAAAATAATAGAGTGGCAATCCAGCATCAGTTGTGGCAGAATAACTAAGACAACGTACTGTACACTGTCATATGCATCAAATCATCCAGGGCTTTTCCAGAACAATGTAGAATATTCATATCAGACTGCCATTAGATGGCAGTACATTGTAATACAGGACTGCCATTAGATGGCAGTCCATGTTAATAGCATACTTGAGATTTTTGTCTGTGCCTTTCAGCCAATTAGGTGCAATAACAGTGCAGATTCCTGCAAGAGAGAGAATCAGCAAGAAAAATTCCCAGACAGTCTGTCACCAACCTTCAAGCCATTAACATCAATCTCTGATTCTCTGTGTTTTGTGAAAACTAATTTATCTTTTGGGAAAATAGGGAAATGCACAGCATTTATTCTTTTCATTGGGATTTCCTAAGGAAATCCACAGCTGAACCCCGCAGCTAAATGATGTGTTTTATTTTCAGAATTGATCCCTTTCTTGCCTCCTTTAGTAATCCTCATCAGTGTTTGAGCAAGAATGAGATCTGATTGATGAACTATAGAAACAATGGATAATAAGACCCCGCTTGATATCATAGGAAAGGTCATCCATTTTACTTCGGAGGCGTTTGGCAAACTGCTCCAAATGCCAGACGCGAGCGAGTTGGAACTTCTCTCTATACTTCCACCAACGACAGCTCATGTCAAAGAGCCCCATGATGCTTCCGTCTTAAATGCAACGCTTCATTATGACGGTCATTACTTCCGGAAGGACAAACGTTTGTATACTTACAATATTCCGTTCTTAATGAGGAAGCAAGTTCAGTCTACAGTTCGTCGGACAGATATGAAGCAGACATATAACAACAACAAAAAAATAATGGAGTAAGCCGGATGAAAGTTGGAATGGGGGGGAAAAGGGTGTGGGTTATAGAAGCCCACAAATACGATTGTGTTGGCCACAGTTCTCACTTGTCTTGAGCCACAGAAATAATCCGGGTCGAGGACGAAGGGTATCATTTCTTCTGCGGACGTCGGTTGTGATGGTGGGAAATGACGCCTGCCAGAAAGTTGTTCCACTTCTAACGAGGGATTTTGGCGAGATTTTCTCCTCAGCAAGTTCGAATCTCTCATATATACGGGGAAGAAAAAAAAAAGGAACGGATTCTTCCGGTTGTGAAGAAAGAAACCCGCTCGGAGTGATGGGAAGAGACATATAACGACGATTTCATCGAAAGCTGCGGGCTTCATGTTTGCAGCGACAGTTGTGTGAAAAACAAGCTGGTCCCCGTCCATTATTTCCGTCTGCAACTTCAAGACTCGTCGGCTTGCTGGAACATGACAACACTTCATCAAATAGTTTACGAGAAGGGACATCATGCCTTGGATCTTTTTCTATGTTTGGGTGAGTTGAGTTTCTTGCTCATTATACGTCCTGCAACCTATACAACTTCTTTCTCCACCCTTTGAAGAAGGAGTCCAAAAATATGAGAGCAGTACAGTTTCTTCGGGAGAAAATGGATTCCTGCCTGATTTTATTTTTAAAATCAATCGCGCTAAGAGTTTTTTTGAAGAATGTTTTTCAATGCTGAGGGAAGCGAGTCATGATTCAAAATGAAAACATTCAAACAAAATAATGATAACTGCACAAAATTCTGGAAACAAGTTCAACCTCTTAATTTTCTGTAAGTTGGACATTATATGATCAGTAAAAACCCTAATTAAAATTTTCCGGTAAATCCTTTGCCAAAACTCGCCCTCAATAAAATTTTTAACTGGAACCTCCTCAACTCAGAACATTTTAGTTTTAACCTCGCTTACTGAAATTTCTACAGACTTCGCAATATGAAGCTGGGGCTTAATTTCAGAACACCTGTTCCATAAAACCAAGAAAGAGTATTCAAATAATCATCTTGGTTCTCTCCATAAGGGAATAGTCAACTTCCTGAAGTAAAAGATCTAAATAAAAGATCTAAAAATAATTTTCAGAATTATCCTTAAATGAACTGCATTCCTTCGTAATTCAGGCCATATTCCATTATTCCCTAACGCTAAAATTCCCGCAGTCACATTTTGTTGGAGTCTCTTCAAATTTGACAACGATTTCACATCGAGAAAATCAGCTCGCTGTAATAAATTGTTTTGCCTGCTTCCAAAATTTTTTTTACAATATTGTGTCTATGGTTATTTCTGCCAGGGTTTTTGAAAACGTTTTTTATCATAAAAATGTTCTAATAAGGGAATGCGTCGTCATGGAATTTTACCTGTAAAATGTGCTGCGGTCATGGAATGTTCATTCAGCACTCCGACTTTTTCTTTCTTCATAAAAAAGTTCTTCGGATTTATGAAAGCCTATTTTTTGATGCAACAGAAAAGAAATGGTCACCGATGGAAAGAGTTGCTTACTTCAAGCCCACTGCAGAAAAAAAAAATGCATACTTGTGGCTTTTGCTGTGCCCAGTCGGGCATGATGTACATCAAAGTGCTCTCTGGCTTGTTATACTGTACTGTATATACGTATATTATATGTCTCTCTTGCGAAGTGTAAAGATATAAAAGCACTGCTGACGACGATTTCCAATGGAGCCGTTGTTTCCTGTTTCTTTT